AAATACAAAATATTATAATAATGAGCTATCAAATAATTATATACCAATATAAAGAAATGTTAAGAAAAAAATTAAAGAATTTTACAAACAACCGTTACCGTCTGAAAAAACTCACTTTCAAGGCCCAAACACTAACTCCATTTTTCGAATTTTCGATTTTCATCCCCATATAGGGCGATCCGCCATATCTCTTTGAACCTGCATTGTTTATTAAATAAAGGCATTTCTATACTGGAAGTTAAAATATTTCTAAATTTAATCATTTTCACATTTTATCGTTGAGTATTTGACAGCGATTATTTTAATTTCTTGAACAAAGAAGGAGTTAATTCAGTCTCGCTTTATAATCTTCTTGGTTCTCATGCTCTTTTGTCTGTTATTACGCATTTAAGATACCTTGGAAAACAATTTGGGATTATTAACAGTTATATTCACAATGAAATGTAATTAAGATCCATTGTCTTATCTGCGGCTACGACTACCCTCGGATTGCAGCCAGCAGAACTTGGCCGCACTGAAAGGGTGTAAAGTTGTTGAAAAGTCTTGAGTCATCTCGCTGGCTCTCACTCTCTCTGATCTGAAATGATCTTCATGTCTGGGCTCCATAATGATGGCGGCAATAAATTCGCATTAAGAACTTGGGATGTTACGATGTACGAGAATATCCAGATGTTGCGCCCATTACACGATCTTTGACAGCGACTTTAAAGCAGCGAGTCGGACCCTAAATCATGTGAGTTGCGTGTCGAGGTTCCGCGACGACGATCCTGCGGGGCTAACCCCAAACCCCGTCGAAGGTAGCCACGCTAATTGCGCTTAATTCAGTCAAAGAGCCCGCATGGCCTCATGTTTTATGGCACATCACATCACTCGTAAAACATAGTTGCGATCCAATAATTTAGATCTTCTGGATGCATTGCATGAAGTCGAAGATCAGTCAGTCGAACGAACGAACGTACGGACGGAAGTTGCTGATTTCTGTTCAATTTGTGACTGGGCATCGTTTAAAGATTGATTGATCAATGCTTTACGATCACCTACGCCCCCGGTCAACGACTCTTTGGGCTTTGCTTTGGCCGCTCGGCAAAACGTTTGACGATCAAATCGCAGGATGTTATCGATCATTGCATAAATTAATGTTCGATTTGCTTGGCTTTCCACATTTTTATTGTTGCTAACGACTGTGGTAATTGCGGGTAATGAGTTGCACCCAGCCTCTCTCCCTCCACCTCTCTCTCGCTCTCTACTAATTCCGCTGACATATGCATAAATCTATCAATACCACTAAATGCTGCTGGTCCAAGCATTCATGAGTTGGGTTCACAGCTCTAGAATTTCCCAGACGATGCTCTAAGGGAAAAACTAAAAATGTCATATGAATAACAAACGCAAAAGTGCTCCAACTCAAAGAGTGACAGACTATCTAAATACCATGTAAGAGTGTTAGCTCTAAAGTTCATATCTACTCCTATATATATACTCCTATATATATATATATATATATATATAGAGCGGAAGGATAAGAACAAAAATTACAAGAAACAAAGATTGACAGAATATCTAAATACCCTATAAACCTGTAAGTTCTGAGGAATATATCTACTGCCTCATATGTAAAGAGCTTAGATTTTATATAAAGTATACCATGTTTACAGGGTATCAAGCAACATGTCTGCCATACACGTATTGTCAGGTAGACAAATATTTTTTATTGATGAAATTGGTTTCGCTTCGACTCCATTTGCAAAGTAGACAAGTTGCCAAGCAAATTGCAGACCTGGGAATTCACACACACACACACAACCACGCTCACTCGCACACCCACACACGCAAACACATATGCATGTGTGAGTTAGAGCTTCTTCATTCGCCATGCAGCATTATTATTTTTTATTGTCAAATTTTGTTTAGAGCGAGTGCCGGTGCCAGTGCCGGCATTTACCCTCGTCTCGTACGTGATATCGGATACCCGTGAACGGACACTTCAGGGAATACGTATACGAGTGCCGTACGTATCCGTACACGAGTCTCTTCCACTTATGACTCTTTAATCATGTGGAGTTTTTGCATATTCAAAGCGCACTCCACATTGGACATTTCCATTTATTCTATCAAACAAATTTCTTTCTGCTGGCCAAAAACAAAGGAATTGGCAACACAGCAAGCAGGTGTCATAGCCACAAAGAAGAAGAAGCAAAGAGATGTCGTGCTCATGCATTTTTAACTCTTTCATTGACAGTTCGACTTGCGGTTTTGATATGCAAAGTCAAATTCCTATATTGATAATTGCTCTTAAGGGAGCTCCTTCCAACACAGGTCAAATAAAGTATGAATATTAAAAAAAGTAATATAAATAATAATAATATTTTTGGCATTTATTATATTTATAAAACATAACAACATTTAATTGTATCTCATGCAATAATTACTGAGTTGTTATAAAAAATAAATAAATACTACATACTATATTAATGAAATTACTTTATAGCTGGCTCAGAATAAAATAAAATTGTTGTTGATTATTAAATTCCAAATTCAATAACAAGTCAGCAAGAGCATAAAATGGAAATAAAAAATATGTAATAATCCAAATAATTAATAAGTTTATTAATAAATTAATTTGCTTTAATTTTTTTATTCCTTACTTTTATTGTTATTATTTCTCTGAGAATAAATGGAGTAAAATACCGTTTTCCCCATTCTGTGCCCATAAGTAGCCCAATATTAATTAAAATACTTGATGATATTTAGTTTTAATTGCTTAATAAATTTAATTTATTGGAAAACATAAAAATACTTAAAATGTATGTTAGATTTTTACGTTGTTTTTGTTTCTTTTTTGTTGTGATTTTTCTTTGTATTTTTTGAACATTAAAATGAAAATATATTTATTTAGCATTCATATTTTTACATACATACACACATATGCATAAATAAGTTAAAAATTCATTAATTAGACTAAATTCATTGGAATGATATAATATCAAAATAGCGTTTAAAATTTCACAACTATCTAGAAGCGAAAATGTGGAACATTTTTAATAATTATTATTAATATTTGGTTTATTCTTAGTTTTTTCTTTTTTTTTTTTTTAATTACATTTTACAGTTAGTACACGTACGATTCATGGCTTCGATTTGCATTTTGATTTTTGGCGCCGTTTAGCATTTAATTTTCAATTTTGTATATATATTCCACGTGTAGCAGCTAAGAAGATATACGTACATATATATGTGTATATACATATATCTTTAATCGTTAAATTCCATGTATAATAATCCAAATACAATCACACACACATACAGACAAACATATCGAATATGCATATATTTATATATAATTTACAAAAAAACAATTGAAATTTCTTTATAGTTTCTGTGTGCTGAGGGAGTGAGATAGAGAGAGATAGAGAGAGAGAGAGAGAGACATAGAGAGAAAAGGGGAGCTAGAGTTTGAGTTATTTGATTTAACTGTTCTTTGGTATATAGTTTATTATGGTATTTGGTATGCAACTATTTGTTATATTCTTCTTCTTTTTGTTATTTTCACTTCTTTTTGGCAACAAGGGAAATTTCTGTTCGGTTGCTTGCGGCTTAAACTACTCAAATTTCATTAACGGCAAATGGAAATGCCAGCTATTGCACAATGTTTCCGGCTAGTTGGAACTGGAACTGGAACTGGAACTGCTACTGACACTGGAACTGGAACTGCCACTGGCACTGGCACCGGCTCTGTTTGCTGTTATGCCAGCAGCGACACCTTCTGGCAGTTCATCGAGTTAACCGGAGTCCCGTTCACGGCCGTCTGTCCCGTCGGCTGAGCTGGCGCCTGGCCGATGCCGATGTTCTGTCCGGGGGCTGCATTCAGCTCGGCTGCAGCTGCAGCCGCTGCGGCGGCTGACATGAAATCCACCTTGCCCAGGTGCACGCGCAGATCCGTGTGCTGGGTCTCCTTGTGCCGGCGCAGATCCACCTTGCGCTGGAAGGACTGATCGCAGAGGCCGCAGCCGAAGGGCTTGTAGCCCGTGTGCTTGCGGGAGTGGGTGATCAGGTTGGAGCTCTGGCTGAACGCCTTGCCGCACACCTGGCACTTGTGCGGTTTTTCGCCTGCAATAAAAATGAAAGAGACAGAGAGAGAAAGAGAGGGTTAGTGAGTGGAAACTAAAATCGATAGGCGATTTTGCACTTGTGCATTTCGCATTTCGCATTTCGTACTTCACATGCACAGCCAAGCAAGCAGTGCGCGCCATTTTAGGCAGCTTTGCTTTCATGACCAAGTACCCGGCCAGCAATCCACCCCCATGCAACCCCCCGCAAGTCTGTGCGGCGAGACAACCCCCACAGCACGGAGCCTCTGCGCTCGACGCTCTGTAAGTCTTCGTCGCCAGCAATGGCGTCGACGTTGCCGAAAAACCACAGCGACAAGTCGACCCCAGCCCCATCCCCCACACTCTGTCCCCACCCCCACAGCCGGCTATGTCTCTGCCTCTGTGTCTGTCTCTTCGCCACACACATTGAGTTTTTAAATTTCTACTTTTTGGTTCATCTGTGTGGTGCTTTGTGGTTTTGCAGCACTTAAAGCCAGCAACCACATAAAAATCCACAAAATTTCTATGAAAACTTTTTTTTTTTTAAAGCATTTTACATCAATTTTGTTGTGCCTTCAAGTTCTTCCTTTTCGTTTTTTTTTTTATGGCCATTTCAAGCGCATTTTTATACTGTTTAATTTTTCATTAGAGATTTCCGGCTGGCCCACCCTAATTGAAGTTCTCTTCTTCTGGTTTCTTAGCCATTTTGTGGCTAGTCGGCGCCAAGTGCTATCAAAATTTCATTCCAGATTTGATTCGCAGTTATCAAAAGTTGAGAGCTGGCTTTATATGCTATGGAAATCTAATCAGTTTATGGTTTTTAGCTGTTATAGCTATATATGAAATATTTTAATTCCAGCTTACCTAATTATAAATGCTTAGGAAATTATTCAAAGATATGACTGAGAAAGTTCAAATAGTACTCTTTAACAAAATTTTAAGGTAATATTTTTAAAAATATTTATATAACTTTCTTAATACAACACACAAAGTAAAAAGTTTGCTATAATTGTATATATTTAATATATAAGTTTAAGTTTATCTTTTTCTTTTAGTGTATCTATATATACATAGTATGTATTACATCTTTGTTGTTGTTGTTTTTTTTTTTTTAATTTTTTTTTTTTAATATTATTTTATTTCTTTATTTATTCTTTCTACGGCATATTTCTGTTTATTTTTTTAATG